AGCTGAAAGCTCTAGAACACAAAGAAGCAAACTCCCCCAAGAGGAGTAGATGCCAGGAAATAATCGAACTGAGGCCTGAAATCAATAAAGTAGAAACTAGAAAAACAATACAAAGAATCAATGCAACAAAAAGTTGGGTCTTTGAAAAATCAACGAGATAGACAAACCTTTGTCCTAACGTACCAAACAGCAGAGTGTAAATACGCAAATTAACAAAATCAGAAATGAAAAGGGGGACATAACAATGGACTCTGAGGAAATTCAGAGAATCATCAGGTCATAATTTGAAAACCTGTGCTCCACACAATTTGAAAATCTAAAGGAAATGGACATTTTTCTGGATAGCTATCACTTACCAAAATTAAATCAAGAACAGATAAGCAATTTAAATATACCTATAACCCCTATGGAAATAGAAGCAGTCATCAAAAGTCTCCCAACCAAAAAAAGCCCAGGTCCAGATGGTCTCAGTGCAGAATTCTACCAGAAATTCAAAGAACAGCTTATACCAATTCTTCTCAAAGTATTCCATGCAATAGAATCAGAAAGGTCTTTGCCAAACTCTTTCTACGAGGCTTCAATAACCTTAATACCCAAGCCACACAAAGTCACAACTAAGAAAGAGAACTTCAGACCAATATCTCTCATGAGTATTGATGCAAAAATACTCAATAAAATACTGGCAAATCGGATCCAAGAACACATCAAAACAATCATTCACCACGATCAAGTAGGTTTCATCCCAGTGATGCAGGGATGGTTCAACATACCAAAATCCATCAATGTAATCCACCATATAAACAAGCTGAAAAACAAAAATCATATGATCATCTCACTAGATGGAGAAAAAGCCTTTGACAAATCCAACACCCCTTCATGATAAAGGTCTTGGAGAGATCTGGAAAAACAGGAACATACCTAAACATAATAAAAGCTACATATAGCAAACCAACAGCCAACATCAAACTAAATGAACAAAAACTCAACGCAATTCTGCTAAAATCAGGAATAAAACGAGGCTGTCCACTTTCTCCATACCTTTTCAATATTGTACTTGAAGTTCTAGTTAGAGCCATACAACAACAAAAGGAGATCAAGGGGAAACAAATTGGAAAGGAAGAGGCCAAACTTTCACTATTTATAGATGATATGATAGTTTACTTAAATGACCCAAAGAACTCTACCAGGTAACTCTTACAGCTGATTAACACCTTCAGCAAAGTGGTAGGCCACAAGATCATCTCAAGTAAATCAGTAGCCCTACTATATGCAGATGATAGAATAGCTGAGAAAGAAATCAGAGAAACATCACCCTTTACAATTGCCACAAACAACATCAAATACCTTGGGGTAACGCTAACCAAACAAGTGAAAGACCTGTATCACAAGAACTTTGAGTCTTTAAAGAAAGAAATTAAAGAAGCCCTTAGAAAATGGAAAGATCTCCCATGCTCTTGGATAGGTAAGATCAATGTAGTAAAAATGGCAATCCTGCCAAAAGCAATCTACAGATTCAATGCAATACACATTAAAATACCAGCACAATTCTTCACAGACCTTGAAAGAACAATAATCAATTTTGTGTGGAAAAACAAAAGACTCAAGATATGCACAACAACCTTACTCAACAAAGCAACATGTGGAGGCATCACCATCCTTGACCTCAAGCTCTATTATAGAGCTATATTCCTGAAAACAGTTTGATATTGGCAGAAAAATAGACAGGTAGACCAAGGGAATCAAATTGAGCAACCTGATATTAACCCATACATGTATGGACATCTGATCTTCGACATAGAAGCTTAAAATATACTATGTAAAAAAGAAAGCATCTTTAACAAATGGTTCTGACATAACTGGATGCTGGCATGTAGAAGAATGCGGATAGATCCATGTCTGTCGCCATGCACAAAACCTAAGTCCAAATGGATCAAAGACCTCAACATAAATCCACCCACACTGAACCTCTTAGAAGAGAAAGTGGGTGGTACCTTTGAATGAATTGGTACAGGAGACAGCTTCCTGAACATAACACCAGTAGCACAGACAGTGAGATCAACAATTAATAAATGGGATCTCCTGAAACTGAGAAGCTTCTGTAAAGCAAAGGACACAATCAGCAAGAAAAATAGGCAGCCCACAGAATGGGTAAACATGTTCACTAACCTCACATCTGACAGAGGGCTAATCTCCATAATTTACAAAGAACTCAATAAGCAAGTCTCCAAAACACCAAAGTATCCAACTAAAAAGTGGGGTACAGAACTAAATAGAGAATTCTCATTAGAGGAGTCTAAAATGGCTGAGAGTAACTTGAGAAAGTGCTCAACATCCTTAGCCATCGGGAAATGCAATTCAAACAACTCTGAGATACCATCTTACTTCTGTCAGAAAGGCTAAAATCCAAAACACCAATGACAATTTATGCTGAAGAGGTTGTGGTGAAAGGGGAACACTCCTCCATTGCTGGTGGGAGTACCAACTTGTACAGTGACTTTGGAAATCAGTATGGAGTTTCTTCAGAAAAATGGGAATAAACCTACCACAAGACCCAGCAAGTCCTCTCTCAAGCATATATCCAAAATATGCCCATTCATACAACAAGGATGGCTGTTCCACTATGTTCATAGCAGCGCTATTTGTAATAGACAGAACTTGGAAGTGACCTAGGTGCCCCTGAACTGAAGAGCAGACAGAGAAAATGTGGTACATTTACACAATGGAGTACTATTCAGGAGAAAAAAACAATGGAATCTTGAAATTTGAAGGCAAATGGATGGCACTAGAAGAAATCATCCTGACTGATGTACCCGGTCACAAAAAGAGAAACATGGCATGTACTCTCTCATATATGAATTTTAGACATAGATCTTGTGAGTGCCAGCCTACAATCCCATGGCCAGAGAGTCTGGGAAACAGAACCTTCATTCAGTGGCTGATGGAAGCAGAGGCAGACTCCCTTGGTTAAGTACTGAGCTGAACTCAAGAAAGCCAGTAACAGAGAGGGAGGACTGATGATCAAAGGGATTAAGACTGGGCTGGTTTAACCCCCAGAAACAGCTGACCTGACAAGGGTTAGCTCTTGAATCTCAGACTGATGGCTGGGAATCCAGTATGGGACTGATCAAGACCCACTGAATGTGGGTGTCAATGAGGAGGCCTAGGTAATCTATTGAGCCTTGGTAGTAGATCAGTATTTATCCCGGGTATACAAATGGACTTGGGGCACCCATGCAACAATGAGAGTTGCATTATCATCCTGGACTCTCGCGGGAGGGTCTAGGCCTTGCCATGGATGAAATGACAGACTATGGACACCCCCATGGAGGGCCTCACTCTTCCTGAAGAAATGATGGGATATTAGAGGGGCTGGTGAGAGGGCATGGGAGGAGGGGAGGGAAAGGGAGAGGGACCTGGAATTGACATGTGAAGCATCCTTGTTTCTAATTTAAAATAAATTTTAAAATAAAAATAAAAAAGAGGTTAAACTTAATGGAAGATTTGAAAAATCCTTAAAAGACATTGAAATTTCCACACAAACGTCAGGAATAGATGCATAAGATCAAATTTAACAAGGCAATTCACCATGCCGACAAGCTGGAAGACAGATGCTCCCTCAAATCAATCCATAGGTTAGGTACAACCCCAATGAAATCCCTGCATCTTTTACTACAGAAATTCACAGAGATATGAAATCTGTTATCTATATACAAAGGACTTTGATCAGATTAAACAGTTTTGAGAAACCATCAAATGACTTATAGTGGCTGATTTTATGACATGGTATACAGACAATAATCAAAAGGTTCTCCAATCATTCCAAAGTAAGACATACAGATAAATGTAATGCAAAAGTGTGACAGACACCTTTTCAGGTAATTGATTTTTCAGAAAAGTGACAAGATAATTTGAATTAGAAACAGATAGGCCTTTCCAAGAAATGATACTGGACTAATTGCATGGTTAAGGAGAAAAAGGTTGTCTATGAACTGTACCTCACAAAAAGCATGAGAAAACTTATTATAAGTAATGCTAAGATTTAAATGCATAAAATCAAAACTAAATCCTACAAAATAAAGTATAATAAGTCCTTTTGACTTTGAACAAATAAATCTTTCTAATTTTGATCATCAAAAGAAAAAACTACAAAAGAAAATTTGACAAATTTTATGTACTGAAAAGCAAAACCTACCTATCATGCACCAATGAGCAAAGGAACCTTTAGACTAATTCTCCAGAACAAAGAATAAGTAAGTAAAAAGTAACAACTTTGGGCTTCAACATCTGTTCTCTGAAATATACTTTTGGGATGACAAGGCTGCTCAGATTAAAGTGCTTCCCTTGAAGGCTTAAAGACCTGAATTCTATTTCTAGAATCGAGTTTGGTTTTCATAAACTCTAGCTGTACGGTTACACATATAATCCAGGAGCCTGGGTACCACAGACAGGCAGTTTCCTAGGACCCACTTGGTAAGTCCCAGTCCCTTAAGAGACTGTCTCAAAGATAAGGAAAAATCACTCAAACAATGAATTCTACCTTAGCCTCCTTAGGCTATAGATGGAAGGACAGACCACTATGAGAAAGCTGAGAGTGTGAGTAAAAATATCTCCAGGGAAGACCAAACCAACATTTTACACAGTATCAAGTGGCCATAAAATTATTCAGACTGAGCAGATTGTATTTGTGTACTCACATTTATGTGTGTGTATGTTTGTGTGTGTGTATATGTTTGTGTGTGTATAACATAACATGTATCTCTCTCTCTCTCATACACACACACCCCACCACCACCACCACCACCACTACCACCACCACCAATCCCAACAGTAACAACAATTATAAAAGAGAGATCATGAAGTTGAAAGAGAGCAAGGATGGAGCGGTATGCTGGAGGGTTTGTTGGGAAGAAGTTGAAGGAAGAATGATGTAATTATTTTTCTTATAACCTCCAAACTTTTTTAAATTTAAAAGAAATGTAATAATGAAAGATGATACTCACAAAAGAGAACAAACTCCATGGTTTCAATGCCTTGAAAGTTCATAATTCTAGGAAATGAATCCAGGAAGTGTAGCAGAAGACCTCGTCAATGGGTGATTTGCTGTATGGATCACAAAGGAAATTAGGAGATTAATTTGATATTCAGATGCTCTTGGATGTTTATAATACCCTGCTTTGTTGCTTGTGACATATGAATTAATAAAGTTAAATTTTCCCAACATACTCGGAAAAGAATACTTCCCTGATGTGTGTGTGTGAACTAAGTCCTACCATTAATATAAAACAATGTTAAATGATGAACAATTCCTCCTTACAACTAAAGAAAACTATTGTCGCATATTTATTCCATGTTTTACTAGAGGCCTGTGGATGGCAGTAAGGTGACACAAAATATGAATATGTAGAGAAATAGATAAATGAAAGGTGACTGATAGAGTTAGGGATATAAAAGATACATAATGTCATACATATAAAACAAATAATAATAATAGCTAAATCTATGCAATAGATGGAAAATTGATAGATTATATATAGACAGATGAGGAGAGGTAGTTGATAGATGGATGACAGATAATTATAGACATACAGATAATAGTAAAGGAAGAACATTGAATACATATATAATTTAAGAATCATCAAAAAGTTTCTTGGACAGAACTTAAAAAGCAATTCAAAGGAAAAAATGATATTTCATACCTCATTAAATAAAATTCCTACTTACTAAAATGTACCATGAAGAAAATGAATAGGAAAGCAGCAAACTGAGAAACTTTCAGTGAGGTAGAACACTGTAATTGTAGAAGCTGGTAACTGAGATACAGGAACTTATTATTGCCTTCTTCCAGCATTCATAAACATTTAGAAATTATCAAGAAAAGATTAAAAGTACAAAATTAATCACCAAAGAAATAATCTGCATTTTTTCAAATAAATCACAGGTACTACATGTGCTTAAATGTCCTATTACAACTTTCTAGCTGGTTACTGCCAGCATTCTTCCAAACCACTGATATAGTTTTGGTCAGAGTTCTCAACTGAATGATCACGGGATGTTGTATAATATATTTAGCTTCTTTGTGCCTCAATTTCATCTTTGTAATCTATGAGTAGTGGGGTAGTAGTTCCATGTGTTATTGTTAGCATAAAATGAACTTACACATTTTAAGTGCTTGGAATTTTGTCTAGCACATGGTAAACATTAAGAAAATCCTTAGCTATTATACTATTATTGCAAATGTTATACATACTAACTTGTGTATAACAGTCACTCTAAATATATTTTCATAAGGCAAGCATGAGTAACAGTTTGGGGAAAACTAATCCTCAATTTTATTAGCAGTTGACATTGATGAACACAACGTGCAGTTTTTCATGCAGCTTTTGTCTATTAGACATTAAAATGAAACTGTTTTATATTCCTTGTATCAGGGAGCATGTGCAAATGAATCTCATCATTACTTTGGCCAAATAAGGAACACTTGCAGAAGTCTCAGACAAGTGACAGCAGCTGTGTGACCTGGGGCTTGGTTTTGAACATTGCTGAGCTTCAGTTTCTTCATTTGGAAAATGAGACTGATAACCCACCATAGGCCTGTATTTAGGAACAAAAGAAATTTACTATGTAAAACTTCAATACAAAGTACAGCATGTCATAAAAACTCAATAACTGAAGTCCCAATATTATACATCTCAAGAAATATTTACTATTGTATGCTTCAAGATTCATTGAAAATCACCCATAACTGCAGGGTAAGTTTTAGAAAATGCTTTGTTCTAGGAGGATATCTAGGGATATAATTATGCTTGTCATGTCAAACTATTGATATATATTTCAAACAGATTTTTTAAGTTGGGACAGGACTTTATGAATGTTAGGCTAGACTTGATCTCATTATATGTTTGAAGACAAACTTGAATTTCTGACATTCCTGCCTTCTTCTCTAGAGGGCTAGGATTACAAGTGCATGCTGCCACACCTGGTTTCATATTCTAAGTTTTAAGCCTAAATCTGGTTAGTATAATTTATATGTGCCATCACATCTTTAATAATCCAATACATACTATTTAATCATGGGCTATACATTTTTCTTTTGATAGTCTTCCAATCCAATCTACATTTCTATTGCCCTCCCAATTCAGTATACTTGCATGATGCAAAGTATCTTGATTTAGTGTTTTATTCAAAATCTTCTACCAATTACATTTCTTTTTTAAATTATGATTTATTATAATCTAACCTCTTTCTAATTTATTTAAATTTAATACAAACATAAACAATACATAAGCATGCTTATTTAAACTTGCCATAGAATATCCAAATACATACAGGAAATTCTAAGATAGCTAATGCTTTCATTTATGACTTTCATCTTTCTGCTTTTCAGTTTTGCTTGATTGACTGCTAAGAAGTACATATCTATCCACAATGCTGTGCATGTAACAATTACCATGCCTAGCACTCTAATCATAAGTGAATTATTTGCCATATCTAAGCAGGTTAACATTAAATGCTTAGGCTCATTAAATGATTATGTGTGGCAGCTCTACCTTACGCAGAGGTGCTGCAGCAGATGCAGAAAGACCCATCCCGAACAGTCAAAGAAGCTAACATTTCTTGACACCTATCATATGACAGGCAGGGCAGTGAACACTTCTCATGCATTTTCCTCCTTAAATACTTCTATCAGGTTCATGATATGAATATTATTATCTCTGCCACTTTATGTAATTTGGAAAAATTGCATTAAGATCACACAGTAAAGTCAGATATATGTACAAAGCCCATCAGCCTTGCCTCTACTCTCATCCTTGCTCTACTTCCCCATGAGGAGGAACTTCATAGACAAACTCATGATTGATAAGGACTAAGGCAACAGGTGATTAAAGAACAGTTACCCTTTGGTAGTATAATAAACAGGGTCTGGTCACTAGTGCTACATACAGCAATTACTGATATATTTATTACGACTTTATACCTGGATTCAAAAGGTTTTTCTCCAGAGAGCTTGAGAGGGGATTTGGGAAATTAGATGAGAGTCTTTGAAACACACGACCTATCAGAGCACTTGACTATGGAATGCTCTAAAAATACAGATGTGAAAATCCAGATTCAAGGGTGAAGGGAATGAAGCTGAGTAAAACTACAGTGCATACAGAGAGTATGAGCAAAAAGGAAAGCCAGAAGAAGAAAAAAGACTTAAGATGCAGGCAGAAAAGGAACACGGAGAAAGGATTTAAAAGGATACAAAGTTAGCCAGACACTTAAAATTAAAGTAGAGTGTGGGGTGGGGTTAGTGAAATGAAAGTCAGTGTCCAAAGATTTAACAAGAATATGAAAGTATCCATAAACCTTTACAATCTTTTGAGGGCCAGAGGAGGAGCTCCAAAGAAAAGTGAAGAAATTATGAGGGGTACAGTCTTTAAAAACAATGATCAGGCCAGGCGGTGGTGGTGCACACCTTAATGCCAGCACTCCGGAGGCTTAAGCAGGTGGATCTCCTTAAGTTTGAGGCCAGCCTGGTTTACATGGCAAGTGCCAGGATAGGCTCAAAAGCTACAAAGAGAAACTCTGTCTTGAAAAAATAAACAAAACAACAACAACAACAAAAAATCAGGACAAAAGAAAAACCAGAAAAAGATGACTTTTGCATAACATTTAGATGATACCTCATTCATCACTAACAAGACACACCACAAGACAATGAAAATATATTGAATTGCTCTGAGAGACATGGTGGTTATCCTAAAAAGCCACACTCAATTCATCAGAATGTAAAACAGAAATATTTTCAGATAGATACAAGAAAAAGTGCAGCACACACTCACAGAAAGAAAAGAATTAAAGAACTGCACTTCTGGAAGAGAAAATTTAATTTAGGAAGAATCTCCAAAGAATAAATAATGAATACAAAAGAAATGTAAAATATATTGTGCACAGCTAAAAACTCTTTGGTGGTTAACACACACACATGCACACACGTTAGGAATTCACGATTCACTAAGGTGTAGTTAGAAATGAGTTGAGACAAAAATCCTAAAAAATTGAACCAAGTGTGCACAAAATACTAAAATGCATAGAATTTAAAGAAAAATCATAATCACTGACTTACGCTGCCATAACAGATGTTACTATTGTTTAATGTTGTTATTGTTTCAACAAGAATGAAAAATTTGAAAGGACTTTAATACTAAAAATAGAAATAGAATCTATAATGAGCAAAGCAAAACAAAGAAAATGTCATTGGTGAAATGGAGGCTGGAAAAAATGAACACTGAAAAAAATAAATAAAAAAGCTAGAGCTATTTTGCACATTTGAAATTTACAGGAAGAGGTAAAATATCAGGAACCTGAGAAATACATATTAAAATCACAAGTCCAAAACCAGAAAACCTTAAAATGTATTTTAAATAGATGCATGATGTTTAAGACAGAACTAAAGTATTTAATAACAAATCTTTAGCAATAAAATAAAAAAATGCAATCAGAAGTGAGTCTGTAGTTTTTCAGGTTTCAGAAGAAGTATTTTATGGCAAAAAGAAATACTAGAAGAGTTGAGGGAGAAACACAGGTGAGGAATGTTTGTGTAGCATCAGTAACACAAAGAGTTTTAATCCCAGCACCAAACTAAAAATAAATACAGAAAAATTGTTATGAAATTGGGAAATTTTATGATAATGAAAACAATACTACACTAAGTAGATTTTATAATTTATTTGTGTGCTCCTTAAAATATTGGTACAAGAAAAGTCAGTAGAGGCATAAAGGAAATCCACAAAAAGAAAAATTGATTTTGAAAAAAATTAACCCAGGAATCTCGACATTTGAGGCATAAAAATAATAGCTAATTGATATATACAAAACTCCATGCACTGTAATTAGTGGATTATTAGAATGTAAAATACACATGGAAAGTCTATGAGCGGACAACAGAGGAAGCCTTGGAAAATATTAAAGATTAGTATTATATAGAACCCACCTCTCAACAGCAGTAAATCAAAACAACAAAATAGTAATTCACAAATTCTCATTTAATAGTTTGAAAAGTTGTATCTTCTTGAATTATTCATAATTTAAATAAACTAATAGAATTTAATAAAATT